AGGGGGAGAAGAAGGGGGGATGGGAGAAGGAGAAGGGAAGGAAAGGAGAGGAGAGGGTGGAAGAGGATGGTGCACGGACCAGCGAAGCATACGTCGAAACCATTGTGTAAGGCGGGTTACATGTATAGGATGTCGACGCTGGCGAGCACGAATGTAACAAGTCCATCCACGGACCAGTGTTGACGGAGCATGACCACGGGAGAGCAAACGACAGACAAGCATGGTTGCTGCAGCTTTGAAACCATGCCAATTGTCACAAATCTGCTCAAACCGCGTAAGCTGGCCAGTGAATACACCTGCAGGCTGATGAAATGGAATGTTCGACGTTGCACTAGGATATCGTATAATAGGAAAATCCCATGCAACAGTCTTATCAAACACACTCATGCTCGGTCTATTTTGGGCCACGTTCGGGCTCGGTAACGAGCGTTTGGGTTTGTTCACCGAGCCCGAACGCTATGCTACACAGCAATCAACTAACGAGCCACATTCATCGTGTAGCCCATCCATGTTGCAAAACTGCCAAAAAGGATAAAGGCATGAATCCCCTTCGTCCCCTTCGTCCTCTTTGTAAATGGATGCTTTTCTCGACAGACAGCGCGAAAAAACTCTTTGCTAGGATGGGAAGGTCTTGCTCCACCGCTCGGTCGCACTCCCTAAGGGAGCCAAAATCCCAGCTAATCCGGAGGACGCAAGTACTAAACCTTGGGTTGACCTCCGGATCAGTGAGGCTGAATGGAAGGTTAGATAAAAGAAAGGAGGTTGTCTACATTGCCAAAAAACTAATCATAAGGTCTAAGGATGCCTTAGGCAGTAGGGAAACCTGAATCGAGTGTAGAGAGTTCATCAAGGCACTCTACAGCAAGGGAGTCTAAACCGGTCAGTGATAGTTCTCCCAAGGAACATGTTATGGTCCAACAGTCTTCCCTTGAAGCCCCAACTTATGCTGATTCCAAGGCTAATGCTTATCATGTTTTGTATGTTGGGCCTTCGGAGGAGTCTGAGAAGGTCGACTTTCACTATCACCTAGAGCATTGGGCTGAGATAAAACAGCAACGCGCTCAAGGGAGAGCAAAGTTAATCTTCTTCGAACTTCTCATTAACCACCGCTATCTCCGTGTCCTGATTGATTGTGGTGCCATAACTAACTTTATGTCACAGCACGAGATACGCAAAGTGGGCTTGGGGATGAAGCAAGTGGCTTTGCAAAGCCCTTGCCGGACTCAAGTACGCAACAAAGAAGTTGTTTTATCCACGCATGCAGTCAAAGGTGTGCCCACTACCTTTGACTAAGACAAGACTATCACACACGCGTTAAACTTCTATGTCCTTGACAAGTGTCGCTTCAAGGCAGTCCTCGGGTTGGGCTGGTTATAGTCCTAATGTGAATGGACCAAGTGGAAGGAACCGCTTTTCATGGTCAAAGATGCACAAGAGAACAAGTGTCCGGTCCTCTTGGATGACAAGCTCGAATCCCCGGTGACTTTTTTAATGCCAAGCAGTTATGCAAAAAGTAGCGCAAGCATAAGGAGGATGAACAGTTGTATGTTGCCTTTGTTCGTCCTACTCATGTACCTTCTACTTTTGCGGCCCGTAATGATTCTACTTTGCATGATAAGTCTGCTTTTATCCCTGCATCTACTTCTATTCCAAATAAGTCTACTTGAGATTCGGTTGCCTTCACTAATAATTTGCTACCTGATATAGGTGATCCTTTTTCTGATCCCCCACCCCCGCCGATCCCAACAAGCATCCAAAACCTACTCGACCAATTTTCGAAAATTCTGGTCGAGCCCCGTGGAGTTCCCACGCGATCGGTCAAACACACGATTGAGTTGGTCGAAGGCGTTGTCCCTCCAAGGGGTTGTGCATACCATATGGGATCCAACGAGTTGGAGGAACTCTGAAAACAGATCGATGAGATGATCAACAAGGGATGGATAAAGCCTAGTGAATCTGAATTTGATGCACCCGTTCTGTTTGTCCCAAAGAAAGGCGGCAAACTTCGTATGTGTATTGATTACCGCGGTCTAAACCGCATCACAAGGAAGAACGCGTACCCATTGCCACGCATAGATGATTTGCTTGATGTTGCAGGTGGGTGCAAGGTCTTCTCCAAGATCGATCTCACCAGTATTTGGCTCATACTCATTGAGGGGACATCTATTTGAACTCAGCCATTGCATCCCGTAATTATTGCAAAACACATGCAGGTGCAAATAATCAAGGATTCTCTCACAAAACCCCCGCCTCAGAAAACATGCAGACCCATCTTCAGAACAGATACGGCGATTCAAGACTTGGAATTTGATCCAGCAGAGTGGGCTTGGACACCAGACAGAAGCAGAAGCCTCAAAACAAATGTCCCATTCAGGAATACACAGTAAAACTGGGATACAACTTACTCCTCAAAACAAAGGATCCCAACCCAACGATCAAGAACAGATGGCAGAAGTTAATAGGTCAAGACACTAGTCACATCCCACAAATACCATGGAAGAAATTCAAGTCAATCCGCCCGGTCAAAATCAGAAGCCTCCAATGGCTCATCTCATATGTAGCTCTTCCATTTAACCGGTGGCTGCATATCAGAAGAAGTAAGAACAACCCTAACAGTTCAGATTTATGCGCGGTATGTTCAGAAAATGAACGAGAAGATATGCTACATTGCCTGATACGCTGTAGAGAGGCGACGGAATACTGGGCAAGAGCCTCGGATCTCTGGGACTCCTTCTCGATCCCCCTCCCTGAACATCCCATCCAACTCCTATGGACTAACATCCCAGCTCAATTCCATAAGACAAAAAAAATGTGGTTTGGAATGATCAGAAAGACAACGATGTGGTCCATCTGGAAGGAAAGGTGCTGCAGAACCATTGAGGGACTCTCAACCCCAAGGGAGAAGGTATGGGCGGAGACAAGGACCCTGATTCAGGCGGAGATTCTTTGCAAGTGGCACAAGACAAGACAGCACATGCCAGATGACGAAGAGCAACAGAAGAGAATCGAGGCAAATTTCACTCAGGTGTGGCTTGCAAGGGGTAAAGTGGCAGAGATAATTGACTCTCGCATACGGTGGAAAGACTGGCACAACTCGGAAGCAGGGAGGAGAAGGCAGAGTTCCCAGCCAGCAGAAGGACTAGCTTCATCACAGGTCACATAATGTTGGAGGGCGTAATCCGATTTTGCATCTTCAGTGGCTT